GTGAAATTTAACTTTGAGTCCTAGATTTTAAAACTGATAAACTAATTTTAAAGTGATAAAGTTTAAAGTGATAAACTCTTTATCCCCCTGAAAATTTTGTAAATGTATATGATATCATAGTATGAAATAAAAATTGCTAGATGCTAACATTTTAATTTGAGTTTTGGGGATAAGAAAGTGAAAATATTTGTCTGATGTACCACAACTACCAAAATTTTTCATTATTTTTAATGGGTTTACATTGGATCATATATTCACTGTGGTCTAACTCTTCTTCTCATTTCCAATAACTTGAGTAGGAAAATTGGTTGCCGTAGTTAAAGTGTCAGGAAAAGGAGCAGTTTTTCTTTGAGTAGAGCAAGCTGGCTTCCCCAGGATCGAAAGCCATGCCGCTTTTCTCTGTCACACCATCCTCTGATCATCTTTTGGGGGATTCTGCCTGTTGTGGGTCTTTCCTGAGGGAAGTTAGGCCAGCCAACAGCTAGAAAGCAGAGGTGGTTTAGAGCAGCTCTGTGATATCATAGATCCTAGTGGTGATAAGAGCTTGGTAAGAGGAAATTGAATTCCAAGGTGGGTGAGGAAAACATTTTGGCATCTGTTTGCTTTAATGAATTCATGTCTCAAAGTCTAGACAAACAGGATTTAAAAGAACCTCAGGCTGATGTTGACAAAAAGTTATATGGGAAAAAAAAGTAATGTGGGCCCCTGAAACACAGAATTTGATGTTAAAAAATCATTACATAATGCCTGAGATCAGCCTAAGGGTAGATTCCAGTCAAGACAGAGTTATTAACGTATCTAAAGAAAGAATAGGGCAGCACAAGGGATTTAAGAATAAAATCATAACAAAACTACGGTTTAGTCAGGCAGAAGCTGGCAGTGTGTGACAACATTGCTGGGGAAGAGGTCGTCTCGAACCCTGGCTACAGCTATGACATGTGGTTGGCAGGTGTGGATGCAGCATCCACTCGACCCTCCTTGTTCAGAGCCACGCTCACCAGGCGGCCGTCTCATGACCACTGGGCTTTCAGGGAGGCATGTGGGAGGCAGAGAGTTAGTTGATCATTAAACATCCAGTTTACAGTTTCTGTTCATTATAAGTGTGTAACTGAGCCTTCTAATTTATACATCTACATCTGTTCTGTGGGGAAAGGTGAGACTGAGTATCTGTCTCACAGAACCAGATTTAGTGCCTACAGAGCTAAGGACTGATCCCTTGGATGTATGTCCATGTTGTTTGGGGGATCAGATGGTCTGGCATTCCCTTAGGCGACCCCTCTTTTGCTACCCCATTCAAGATGCAGTCATGTGGAGCCTGTGTTGAAAATCTCTCAGTGTAATTCACCATATTGACAGAATCAAAGAAATGCACCATATGATCTTCTCAATATGTACAGAAAAAGCATTTGAGAAAGTTCAATACCCATTCATGATAGCAACACTCAGAAAACTAGAAACGGAAGGAAGCTCAACCTGATAAAGAGCATCTGTGAAAAATCTGTGGCTAACATCATACTGTCAGTTCTCCCCAGGCTGAGCTATATTCAGTTTAATCTCAGAGTCCAGGTAGGCTTTTTGTTTGTTTTGGTTTGGGTGGTGAATATTGTGAATTTTTACATTCTTGAGTGCTGGATGTTATAGTCCTTTAACATCTTTGTTCTAGCAGACATTTAGTTTCTTATGGATCAGTTTGATCCTTGCCAGTTTTGTTTTTAAGCTCTTCCTGGATGGATCTGGAGTAGTGTTTGCTCTAAAGCTAACTTAGCAGTACTTCCAGCGTGTGGTCTCTGTTTACTGAGGCCTCTCCACTCTGGCTAGTGTTAGGAAACTCACACAGTTCCCAGCTCTGTGTGAGATCTGAGAATTATTGGGCTTGTCCCTATGCGTGGCCAGGTTGCCCTCAGCCAGAGACCCAAGCAGATCGCTGTGCAGATTTCTCTTACTCTTCCTCTGTGTAGCTTCCATCTCTTGAGTGCTTTGCTTCAACCTCTTGAACCTTGAAATTCTATGCCTCAACCTCTTGAACTTCATCCTCTGAGCTCAGTTTGGGTTCCCTCTTTGTGGTTACCGGCCTTTAAGACGACTCACAATGATCCTTGTCTCCTGGTATTCGTGACCTTGTGTCATCTCCTACTACATTATATCAGAGTTGGTCTCACTGACCAATAGAATATGGCAGAAATAATGGCATATCGCTTCTGAGGCTAGGTTGTGAAAGATACTGTGGCCTCTTTGCTCTCTCTCTCTGATTACTCTCTCTGGGGGAAGCCAGCTGCCATGATGCGAGGACATTCCCAACAGAGCTTTCTCTAACTCCAGACTTAACCCCTTTCACTCTTTCTAATCACGTCACCCTCTTACTTGGATCATTTGATGGTGCTTCATGATACTCAAAGGCCAAACTCCTCAGCAGAACATAAAACCTTTCAGGAATTTTCCTAGACACCTTTCTCCAGCTTCATTCAACTCTTCTCCCATTTCCCAATCTGAATTCTAACCATAGCAGATTATTTTTGGGTGGTCATACTCATGCTGTGCTTGCACTAACCCTGGGCATTTGCATATACCGGCCACCCTCTTCTTCACCTGGCTAACCACCGCCCTTCCTTCAAGTTACAGGTCTCCTCCTCCAGCAAACCTGACTGTTGTTCCTGCTCTCCTAGGCTGTTAGGTGACCTGCCCAGCGCTCCCAGTTCTCAGTCCCTTAGGCTATTAAAAGTGCCTGTTTAATTGTTAACCACCCCCCCCCAAATACCTTTTAAGTCATGTACAGGGATTGATCTTGTTTACTGTTATATCTCTTCCTGGCACACAGCAGGGGGCTCATTCAGTGTATTTTGAATGAATAAGTGAGTGAGAAGAACATTTTAGAGTGAAATAAGCAGTGACTTAGCATAACAGGCTACGCAGTTGATTTTAACATTGGACTTACAGATGTTACCACAACTTTTGGTTAACTATAAAAATTTAATGAATTTGTCTCATTTTGCAGTGACTTTTTGGAGACATTAGGTAATGTTTTATTCATCGTTACATTGAAGTAGCCTATTT